TCATTATGAAGAGCCCTGAGGAAATGTTTCAGTCAGGCAGCTTGAAGGCATTTATTTTCTTTAAATCTAAAAAAATATTTTTTTTGTGTCAGTAATTGCTAATGAAAGAATCGAGGAGAAGCACTGTAAATAAACAACAACAAAATTATTTATTTATTCATTTATTTTTTAAATTAAATTTGTTTATTTTTGTGAGTTATATTCAAAGAATAAATGCCATAAAGCATCTCTTATTATGGTAAAAATACAGTTTTATAATGAGATCAAAAAGATCCAGAAAAAACTGACTAAAGGCCAGATGTTTATTAATCTCAGCTGAATTGTGAACTTGGTGCGCAGGATTAAGATTATTTCTCATTTTAAAAATAAATCGGTACGCATAATAGAACATCCTCACATTTAATAAGTTCCCTGAATGAAATCACTTTATTTCTATTGATTTTATTTACATGTGAACCACTTATTTTCAAACCAATCAGTGATTATATCTTCAATTTAATATAATATAATATAATTTCATTTCATTTATTGTTTATTTGTGCATTTGTTTGTGTGTGTGTCAAGTTTTAATTTTTTAAAAAAGAACAAAACATTACAATATTAAGACAATATAAACAAACTTAAAAACAGATCTGGGCTTGAGGAGCCCAGCCCGTGCATTTATGCATTTAAAAACAAGTATTAAATTGTTGAGTTTGACCAAGTTTTAAAACTTTATCATGTTAAGTTTCTGTTCAAGATCCTAACTGCTGTGTTATAAATCCATCTTACAGGCTTAATGGTTGTAGCTGCTGCTTAAAACCAAAAGGTTACACAAAAACTTATAGGATGAAAAAATCATAGAGTGCATAAAACTGTTGGCAGCACGAAGTAAAAACAATCTCTAAATATTAATAATATGAATGTGTGCAAATTGGATTTTGCTACTCTGCTGGCCACCTTAACATCTGATTTTAAATAAGAATCTAAAATGAAACCCATATATTTATTATGGCTCCGCCCACTGGGGGCCATTCTGTTCTCTGTCTGTGTGGCGTCCTTCTGTATTGGGTGGTCTTGTGTGCACGATATCTCCTGAATGAAAATATTTACTTATAAAGGCATAATAAACTCCATTAGGGTGCTCAGTCTGATTAGATTTGGGCATCAAAGGGTCAAAGGTCATTTAGGATGATTGGTAATATAAAACTGGTATTTTTTTCTAATTCCTCAACAGTACAAATAAAATACCTGGTTAGAAAAAGGAAACAAATTATTATTTTCTTATAATACAACCCAAGAGAACTAGACACCATAGTGTCGACTGGTATGCCTCTGCCTGCCCCAGACATGTCTGCCTTTGAAGCTACAACTAGTATAATAAAATGTTAATAATTTTTTTAATTATCATGCTAAATGTTATTAGTTGTAGCTTCAAAGGCAATGTCTGCGGCAGGCAGAGGCATACCAATTGACACTTTGACGACTAGTTCCACCTTGTTAACTTCTGAAACCTGCTCAATATGTTGACCATTATTCCTCAAGTTTAAAACCAAACCAGTGTCATTTCTCCAAGATTTAGCATTTGAGGAAAAACTGAGTTTCAAAGTAAAACATGACTTCACACTTCTGCAATAGACTTGAAGTACTTTAAAGCTCCCCATGATATTTGTAAATTAAATAAATTAAATAGGCCACGATGATTAATATTCCAACAGGTAATAAATGTAAAGTAAATGGTGCCTTTTTTTGAAGACTTCACATTCTGTTTTGCATCATTTTTCATTTGTTGTTCACTCGGTTGTTAACATGAATAACTCACACAAGAAAAAAAAAGAAGAAAACCCAAGCTGTTTCTTAGCAACATAATTAAAAAGGAAAGAGACTTTGAGGATAATCCTAACAGCCTTTTAAGCACAGTTTGCATTAAACATTTTTGTGTCGTTTGAGCTTAACGTATGAGTCACTAACAGCGTGAAAAAGTGAAACATTTTCAAAATGCAATGTCTGGTAACCACTGACAACAAAAAGGTAAAACTAAATAAAAAATAAACTAAATGTAAGTCAGTCCTTTATGTGTTTTAGCCTGCTGTTAGCTTTGTAAGGATTGAAAAAAAAATGGTTTGAGTGAATGAAGACAACAAACTATCTACTTTAAAAGTCTGTTAGGATAAAAGGAAGAAAATAAACTCAATGAGGTCAACCGTACTCAAACAAAATTGAAAGTCTCAAAACATCATGTGCGTTTTTTCTTCTTAATATACCTTTTAATGACAAGTAGCCAAGACCACCATCTATATGTACAGTTGTGTAGACCTGTCTGAGCTGTCCACTGTTCATCGAAACTACAAAACACTAAATCTATAAAGTAAAATATCCTGATTTTAGCAGAACTGGCCTGAAAAGTGTGAAGGAATAAGTCTGAACCAAGTTTTTCTCTCTATTGTCACAGGCAATATGAGCTCTCTGAGCAAATAAAAAGAATGAGAATGCAGCACTTACAAAGACACAGCTGGATTATTGAAAAGCCAGTATTGTGTTTACTGAGACGCGGCTGTTCAAACACATTCTGGAGTCCGGCGCCTCTCAAATTGGGTTCAGAGACACGCAGACAGAGCAGCAGACTCTTTTCAGCTCCTCCTTCGGCTTCTTCAGCTCAGGGCAGACGGTCTGGATCAGAGGGTCAGTGCAGCCAACACCAGAATACTTTATATTTTCATCATTCCTTTTGAATTTTTTACTTTGTTGGTTTCAATTCAAATATATATTCTATGTGTTCAGTCGTACAATCACACCTTATTTACAAAGAACAGTCCTGAGCTGAAGTTTTGAAATAGAGTTCATCCGGTGTTCTCCTGGAACTTTATGATTGTGAAAAAAAAAAAGATTTGTTATACTTGAAATTTCTATCAAATGTTGCACAATCTACCAAGACATCTCCCTCATTAATCTTACAATAATGAGGGAGTTTGCTGAACAATTACCTTCTGTTCCATTGTGCACAGAATACTATTTACAGCCAGAAAATTAATATCCAGATCTCATCGTGGCTGTCTTATCATCTTACATTAGTTATGTTTATGCTGGAGAAACGACTTCCTGAATAGACAGAAGATTATTTTCTTTTATCTCATCAAGGCATCGGCTTGTGTGATTTGACTTAAATTAGAATTTCTCAAATCCTGAATAAATAACTTTTTTTCTTACCTCCTTAATGAGTTTTGATCACAGCTAATTCTGTTGTTTTCTAATTTAAAAAGTTTGGCTGTTCATTAAAAGTGAAAAAGAAAAAAAAACTAAACTTGTTTGTCTTTGACTTTTTTGAGTTACTTGACAGGTTTATCCAACGTTGGTGTTGATATTACATTAAAATCTTGGCAGCAAAAAATAGTTCCCTTCATCTGTGTGAAAATTTATTTGCACACAAATGCCAAGAAAGTGGGTTGAAAAACAAAATAAATAAAACTTATATTATGTTTTACTAAATGATTAGCAAAGTTTTAAATAAAGGCTTTTTACAAACTGTTAGAACTTGGAATATGTGTTGAAAATAGCTCATATCAAATTTTAGCTCAATATCTGTAAAAATGACAAAGTTGGAGGCATTTTTATTTTGGCAAATGTCAACTCACTGCAGCGACCATCTGAAACTGTGATGATGTCAAAATTTAATCACTTGTAGATGTGTCTCTAATGATTATTTTCTTAGTTTTATGACAAATTGTCTTTTGGTTTTGGAGATATTTTACTAACAGACAGACATCCACACACACAGTCGCAGGCAGTCACATAAATGATCATAGGTAACACTGTTTAGACTAGCGCTTCTCAAATAGTGGGGTGTGCACCCGTCATGAGGTGTCAGGGGGGTTGTGAGTTAAAAAAATACTACCAGTAATTTATTTTCCTTTTTAAGAATTCATTGGCCTTGAAGAAGAAGCACCAAAGAAATCCAGATACAGCATGTATCTTGTAGTATTTTTTCCCTTCATATAATGATTCAGTGCAGCAAAATAAATAAATTTAAAAGGTAAAATATAATAATACTGCTTTATGTAATGCAATGCTTCCCTATACTATTATTAGTTGATTATATGCAGAAAGACATGCAGTGGTGTGTAAAGATAAATAATAAATATTACCAGGTTCTCAATAGTATTTCATTTCGTGTGGGTGGGGGCGGTGGTTGAAAAAAATTAAGTTCCCTTGGGGAGCACGACAGAAAAATAATTAAGAACCACTGGTTTAGACTTCGTGTATTTCTTTTTTTTTCCTACCACTTCAGTAGAAAGCAGTACTAAATATCTGAATATTAGTATCTTAGCTTCTTYATCATCAGTGGTTTTTTATTTTATTTTAGATGGACAAGAAAGACTTCGTGTATTTCAAGGAACTGGAAGTTGGCAGGAATTTATCCATAAGGCATTGAAAACTTTAAAGTGCCCATGAGATCAAAATGTTGTTACAAATATGAATGCATTTTTAGAAAGATGACACTGATAACATGTTGCAAATAAAAAGTCACACCACTGACACGAACAGCTGTTGAGCTATTTGCATGAGCCAACAGGAAGTGATGTAAAAGGGGGAATGTCTGCCTGTGAACAGTGCATTGCCACAATGGCTAACAACAGACTGTAGAGAAGAATCTGATGTTTCCTTAGATAATTTTGAGTCACTATCAAAGATGAAGAAAAGTCAGAGTTCAAACAATATTGTTTTAAAAAAGAACAGAGTTCCCCTTTTTCAAATAATCCTCTTTGATGTCACTTCCTGTTTCACTTCTGCTGAGCCCAGTTCAAAGGAAAATAAGCCAGTTATGTGACAAAATGGGTAAAATTGTGTGTATTTTGCCACATTTATTAAATATTTAAATACTTTAAATACTGACTGCGTGATTGAAGTACAGTATATGCATGTCACTGACACTTTAAGCATACACATTAGCATCTATAAAAACAATACAAAACAAAAAACTGGCAAATTCATCTTTTTCTAAAAGATAAAAAAAGATCACTCTCTTAATGAAAACAATACTTTTATTTGGTTATGAATAACATCTTATTTACACAAATAAATATTTAAACTACAAATAGCTCATAAATCATAAGAGTAGCTCAGGAGTAGGATGGGATGGTGTGCAAACACAAAATGCACACATACACAATAAAATGCCTTTCGGATATCCAACATTCATGCACGAGAGGTGTTACGTTTGGGCCCACAGAACATACAACACTGAACAAGCCATACAAACTGCTGCTTATATCACAAAAAAAAAGCTGATATCTTTGAAGTATTAAGTTAAAGGCAGTCTGACTTTGACTTAGAACTTCAAGATATTCCAAGATGGCCAAGAATCTCCACAGACATAAAAAGGCATGGTACATTAACTGTACAGGTGCATTATGGTCCACGTTTCTCATTGTCTTGTACAAGGTCAAGTGCAAAACTTGTGAAACAATAATAAAAAAAGAGTACAAAGACAAATTTGAAAGCTAAGGCAGTGAAAAGCAGGACTAAATGAGGTGATCATGATGAAATAAACGGTGAGGAATGAAAACAAGAACGAACAAATAATGAAAGCAGTCCAAACGTGAATAAATCAGAGGAGATGAATAAATGTGCAAACTGCCCGAGAAAACCATTATTATTCAGAACAGTAAATCTATTTTTTGTCATTTCTGAGAAAAAAAGAAGCTTTTGAAATGACTCAAATTACACTTCCAGGTGTCAAGAAGTTGCAACATTAAACGATCATTATTTAATCGGAAATGAGTTTGCAGAAAGCTTTGAAATCCTCTCAATTCATGTCCGTATTGTGCTGTCACTTATTTAAACAACAGAAGTTTGTTTCTTTTTTGTATACAAATTAAGTTAAGTAAGCAGATTTCTTTACATAAATGGTAAAAAAAACAAACAAACAAACAAAAATGAACATTAAAATGGAATAAATTAACACCTCAATGTTTAGGCACAACCTTTGATTTTTCCCACGTTTCCTACATTTTTGAACAGTGTATTCCTTCTTTAAGAGTCATCTTCAGTTTTAATTATATGGAAAAGTGTAACGTTGAACAGCACCTGGTGGCCATTGTTCCAGCCGTAAAGAGCTCGGTCCCTGGCGTTGTAATCCAACATGGACATGTGGAAGTACTGGTTGTGGAAGGGGATGTCTGTGTATTCGTACGTGGATGTTTTGGTGGAGTAGGCGTAGTACACCTTGGCCCCGGTCAGGTGGGAGTTGGTGATGTAGAGCGTTCCGCAGATCATGAACGACTCACCGGCATTCCTCTTGGAGTACTCCGTGTTCCACGTGTTGAGGATCTGGAGCGTGTCCGGGTTCAGCTTGCTGATGACGATGTTCCCCGCGTTCTGGTTGGTCGCGTACACGCCCCACAGGCCCAGCTCGTCGGCCATCAGGTCAATGTCCGAGAACCCCCCCCAGGTGTATGGGTACACGTTGTGGAAGCCCGCCGACTCCAGCGCCCTCTGCGTGACCACGCGGCCCGTCTCGAAGCTATACCGGACGATGATGTTGCTCTGCATCTTGTTGTAGTACAGCGAGCCGTTGTACACCACGTGGTCGGTTCCGGCCCATTTGAAAGGCAGATTGTAGGTTCTGGATTCAACTCCTGCCACAAAGTCAGTGATGGATTTGTACTCTTTGACGATTTTGTTGTTGGTATAGCTGTCCATGTACCAAACCTGTGAACAAAAACACACAAACAAAACACCAGGATTCAATTTCTGCTTCCAAGACAACATCTTTTAGCTGTTGGTCGTTAACACGTCGAACCCTGCCTGGGTAATTGTTGGTCTCTGTCAGCTTCTGCTTTAATTAACTGTCTTCAACACACAGTTGTCAGATTTGTGGTCAGAAGTAAAGAAGCTGGGAGCTCATCCTGCAGGTCAGTTAAAGTGTTGAGCCAAGTTCAGAAAGGGTTTAGGAGAATCAAACATCTATGCTGCCTAAAAGGGATCCCTGATTAGTTGTAACATTAGACTTTATTTGATAAACATTTATTTTAACTGTAAAATAAAGACTGTAAAAATACTGTAGGCTGTTTAGATTTGTAAATTTTGAAAAATATATTTTTATAGGGACGGGGCCATTTTATTCACACACAAAGCATTCTGGGTAAATGATGACGTGGGTAGGTCCTCGGTGCGAGGCTGCTAGCGAGCTATATCCACCCTGAAGGTTAATCTTGGACAATATCTGATGATCGACTCTTAAATGAAACCAGAGAGCGTTGACAGAGAGGAGAAGGTAGAAATGACTCAGCCTGTAACTGAAAATGTGGATGGAGGACAACAGAGCTGCTTCATGGAAGAAGAACCTCAGCTTAGCCTGTTAATCTTAGTGCTAGCACCCATGCTATATTGCCTTATATGTATTAGCTTGGTGCTAGCATGACAAACAAGCTAAACTGAGGTCCTCCATCCATATTTTCAATTGTAGGCTGAGTCATTTTTGCGTTCCCCTCTCTGTCATGTGGAAGGAGGACCTCAGTGATGAGAAGAGAATGTGTAGCGCCGAGCTAATACATATATATGGTGATAGCGTCGGGGCTAATGCTAAAGCTAACAAGCTAAGCTGAGGTTCTTCTTCCACGAAGCAGCTCTGTTATCCTCCATCCATATTTTCAGTTCCAGGCTGAGTCATTTCTACCTTCTCCTCTCTGTCAGCGCTCTCTGGTTTCATTTAAAAGAGTCGATCGTCAGTTATTGTCCAAGATTAACCTTCAGGGTGGATATAGCTCGCTAGCAGCCTCACACCGAGGACCTATCCACGTCATCATTTACCCAGAATGCTTTGCATGTAAATAATATGGCCCCGTCCGTGAAATACTTTTTTAAACTTTTAGTTTAAAAATTACAAAAACAAAACATCCTACAGTATTTTTACAGTCTTTATTTTACAATTAAAATATAGGTTTATCAAATAAAGTCTAATGTTACAACTAATCGGGGATCCCTTTAACAACAAGTCTAAGCAGTTTACTGTTAATCACTAGTGCTTGGTTCACACGGCAAGATAATTAGGCCAATTTTGGCCTGATTTAGCCCTCCTGATGATCTTAAAGGGTCACAATTATGCAAAATTAGCTTTGGAGCTCTATATCATGTTTTAATGTCATCAAAAACATCTCCAAAGTGTTGCTTTGACTCATTCATACACGTTTGAGAAATCCTTGAATTTCCTGTGGCCATGTGGAGCTGCCTAAACACTTGCTGGTACAAAGCTCCGCCTATTTATAACTCCTCCCTTGGGCTCAGTCTGCAGCTGAGCTCCTGCCCCACAGAGCACCCCTCCCCCGAAGCATTGTTGTGGAGACATGCTGAAGCGGGAGTGTTGGAAATGGTAAGAGGTTCTTAAAGAGACAATGGCCAATTCCAAGGCCGTTAGATAGACTATGTATGCAAAGTCAAATTTATTTTTGATATATACAGCATTTTGGATGCTCGGATTATGGTGATGTCTCTAAAGATAATCTCAAGAGGTATTCCTGCCAATGTGTGGTGAGTTAAGAGTGATTTAGTCTGGATGTTTTTACTGTGTTGTCTTTGCACCACACACTGTAGGACCAAACCCGTTAGATGTATACTATTTTATCGTCATGTGTGGGGGTCTCTCAGGTTTTGAAAATCAGCCAATAATTTTAAAATCTTGCCGTGTGAACCAGGCATAACCACTTAGTTTGATATGAAGACTGGTCCGCATTACCCTAACTGGGATTTTCTTGACATTGTCACATAACATGCAGTAAAATATGCTTCTTCTCAGCTTTTCATTGCCCTCTTTTCCTCTACAGACTCTGTTTTAACTTCACAGACTGAGTGAAGTTTCAGCAACACAGATAAACTCCTTCCCTCTTTGTGCTTGTGATTAATTGGTTAAACTGAATAAATGGAGCAGATGGTTTGTGTAAAGTAACTGACAAGTGAAGAGAATTGTAAAGAAAGGGGTCCATTGACAGCATCACAATCTATTCCAGAGAATAAAGATGCTCAACGATTCCTTATTTACATAATAATACACAGTTTGCAAATATTGATTGAAATACTTGTGACTTGTGTTTTTTTATGTGCAGAAATTGCAAACAACTATTTTTTTTTAAACGGGAGTCTGACAGTATGCTCTGCTGTAGAGATGAAGTTGTTTTCACCCACAGGCAGTGAGTCAGCAGTTTGCAGAGTTCTCCTGTCACAGTTTCATACCAGCTCAGCTCAGAACCTCAGCTCAGGCAATATTTAAAACAGGGACCTGTTACTGGAACTACTGAAAATAGAAAAATAGCCAGTTTTACTCCACTGTCTTGTATCAAGTGTCAAAAATGCACCAACATAGCCCAGTTGTAGATACAGTGGTTTGCAAAAGTATTCATACCCCTTGAACTTTTCCATATTTTGTCACATTACAACCACAAACATAAATATATTTCACTGGAATTTAATGTGAAAGACCAACACAAAGTGGTATACAATTGTGAAGTGGAAGCAAAATTTTACATGAATCAAAACATTTTTTACAAATAAAAAACTGAAAAGTGCGACGTGCAAAAGTATTCAGCCCCCTTTTCCCTGAGTGCAACCAATTGCATTCAGAAGTTGTCTGATGACTGCTAATGACTCAAAAGGGTCCACCTGTGTGTAATCTAATCTCAGTACAAATACAGCTGCTCCGTGATGGCCTCAGATGTTGGTTAAGAGAATATTGGGGAGCAAACAGCATCATGAAGTCCAAAGAACACACCAGACAGGTTAGGAATATGGTTTTGGAGAAGTTTAAAGCAGGCTTAGGTTATAAAAAGATTTCCCAAGCTTTGAACATCTCACGGAGCACTGTTCAATCCATCATCCGGAAATGGAAAGAGTATGGCACCACAGTAAACCTGCCAAGACAAGGCCGTCCACCTAAACTTACAGGCCGAACAAGGAGATCACTGATCAGAGAGGCAGCCAAGAGGCCCATGGTGACTCTGGATGAAATGCAGAGAGCCACAGCTCAGGTGGGGGAAACTGTCCACAGGACAAAAATTAGTCGTGCACTACACAAATGTGGTCTTTATGGAAGGGTGGCAAGGAGAAAGCCATTGTTAAAAGAAAACCATAAGAAGTCCCGTTTGCAGTTTGCCAGAAGCCATGTTGAAGACACAGCAAACATGTGGAAGAAGGTGCTTTGGTCAGACGAGACCAAAATTGAACTTTTTGGCCACAATGCAAAACGCTATGTGTGGCGGAGAAAGAACACTGCACATCACTCTGAAAACACCATCCCCACTGTCAAATATGGTGGTGGCAGCATCATGCTCTGGGGGTGCTTCTCTTCAGCAGGGACCGGGAAGTTGGTCAAAGTTGATGGGAAGATGGATGGAGCCAAATACAGGGCAATCTTGGAAGAAAACCTGTTGGAGTCAGCAAAAGATTTGAGACTGGGGCGGAGGTTCACCTTCCAGCAGGACAACGACCCTAAACATAAAGCCAAAGCTACAATGGAGTGGTTTAAAAAAAAGAATATTCATGTGTTAGAATGGCCCAGTCAAAGTCCAGACCTAAACCCAATTGAGAATTTGTGGCAAGATCTCAAAACTGCTGTTCACAAACGCTCTCCATCCAATCTGACTGAGCTTGAGCTGTTTTGCAAGGAGGAATGGGCAAGAATTGCAGTCACTAGATGTGCAAAGCTGGTGGAGACATACCCTAAAAGACTTGCAGCTGTAATTGCAGCAAAAGGTGGCTCCACAAAGTATTGACTCAGGGGGGCTGAATAATTTTGCACATTGCACTTTTCAGTTTTTTATTTGTAAAAAATGTTTTGATTCATGTAAAATTTTGCTTCCACTTCACAATTGTATACCACTTTGTGTTGGTCTTTCACATTAAATTCCAGTGAAATATATTTATGTTTGTGGTTGTAATGTGACAAAATATGGAAAAGTTCAAGGGGTATGAATACTTTTGCAAACCACTGTATATTTTAAAATAAATCGTTGTTACTACCTTAAAAATATATCCTTTGAACACATCCTGAAGCAATTTTAATGCAAATATTAGTCCTCTAATAACTAACAATTTCTACAATAGATTAGTTTAATTAAAAATAAATATTTAAAGGCTACTAAAAGAGTAACTGATCATGAGTAAAACTGTGTACAATCTAATAATACTCGGTGTAAAAGAAGCTTTTTATCTGCTCACCCTGTTATTTTTAGGAGAAGCAAGAGGATCAGTCATCCAGGCTCCAAATCTGGTCCCTGAAGTTTTCACAGTCAGTGGCCCTGTGATCTTCATCAGCTTGCCACATGCTGTAAACACATCACACACCATCTGATCTTATAACAAGAATACACCCAAAGTGTTGGATTGTTTGAATTGGGTGTAAACAAAAACAGCTTGAAGATGCCCAAACTGCACTTTTCTCTACTTTTATAGAAAAAAGGCAGCACAATACGCAAGTGCATTTTAGTGTTCATGATTTAATATTTAAATAGCACCTAATTATATTTACAGAAGCTTTAATAGTGCTAAAAAAACAAAGACACGAGTTTTTAAGTTTTATGCATTGACATGCTCATTTACCGATTCAAAATTTCTGCTTGACACAATCAGTCCTCACAAGCTTTGAAAGCTCCACAACCATTTTTTATTGTAAAGCACCAGTTTTTTTTGTTTGTTTTATGTTGAAACTTTGACAGTAATGGTCCTGACTTATCAACAAGCTGCTGGGAAATTGAAGCTCGGGCTTTATAAACCTTTAAACAAAGGCAAGGCGACTTCGAAGGCCAAATTGATTCTTTTATGCGGGCTAAACCTCGATGGGTGGAGTAATGTAATGACAGCTTCTTACCCTCAAACTGCAAATGTTGAAGATAAAAAAAATCACTTTGAGAAAGGCTGAGATGTCCTTCTTTTGTGAACATTTCACACTGGTGTATCCATAGATTGAAATAATACATTCAAATGAATAAACATTCTGACTTAGGACTTTATAATAATGGGACTTTACCCAAACAAAGATCACTTGTTTCTACACCCAACAAACAGACATGTGAGACTCACTGAGTTTGTTCATGCAGCTGTGGAGTCTGTTCTCCAGACTTAGGACCCTCTGCTGCAGCTCCTCATAGTCGTAGGCTCCCATCTCCTCCTGGATACCCATTAACACCCCGGAAAGGTTCCTGATCTCCTCTTTGAACTGGGAGATGAGCTTGGCGTCGGTCTTGTACTGCTCCAGGACAGGAATCAGAGGCTGCAGCGATTCCATTTTCCCCTTCAGCTCCTAAAACAGGTTGAAATAAAATTAGAAGGAAACTTGTATTTATTTAAAAGTGTTAGATCTTGGCGTATTAAATAATTTTCTGCATAATACGGCAATTTTAGATTCATTGCTAATAGACTTTTTCTTTTTTTTTTTCAAATCGCCCTGTTAAATGAGATAAAGTTGGGTCTGTTGTTCAGTTTGATGAAAAATAAAAACAATGCATGGCCTTTTATTGGCAGAAGCAGATGTTAAATCGTAAGCAAAATCACAAAAAAGGGAGAATTTCAGTATAAATTGATACAATTTAAAAAAATTCTGTAATTTCTGTGCTAGACGAAGCACAGCCTAATAAACAATGTGAGTAAATTGAAATCATACAAATTTATGATTGCTTTAGTTTGAGTCCCTCACAGGCTCAAACTGTAGCGACAGGAAGCACATCCAGTAAAACTGCCTGGTTTTATTGATTTCTGCTGGTGTGAGCTGTAGTTGTGTTTGGTGACCCACGCTACAGGATGTTTAGTATCACTTCAAAACCCAGCTGAGTTTCTTCTCTGCATGTCTAGTTTATATTCATGCTCCCTGGTTTCCTCCTACAAACTAAAACAAGCATGTTAGGTATTTCAGTAAATCTAAATTGTTAGGTGCAAGTGACAGTATGAGTAGTCGTCTCATCTGTGACTATGTGGTCCTGTGATGGACTGAGACATGTCCGGCGTGTACTCCACCTCTCACACAAGGCATTTTTGCAATGTAAAGCACGCCTCTGCCCGCCCCGGCTCCAAACGACCCAACCTTACTTTTCTCCAGCCTGGGTTGTGGTTGCGTTGAGAAGAAAGACGTGCAATCTTTTTTTTTTTACTTACGACAAAACAATTATGGACTACACTAAACTTTAAGGAAAAGTATTGAATACGGAACTGGATCATCCAACAGTATGGTGCTTAAGCTGACAGATAACAGTAAGCTAATGCTAGCTTTTTGTTAGCTTATTTTTGGTAGCCTGCTACTGTTGTTTGGTTAAACTTGTGTGGAAAAGAAATAAACGTTACAGTTGCTGCAAAATGATTCACGTGAAGTTACTCTCATCTGTGTGATGTAACTTTCCCGGTTAGTGAACCAATCAATGAGCAGCAATAACTCATGTAAAAGCCCAGCCTATTGGAAGCACATGGCTAACACAAAAACGCCAAATTTGGGTTTGAACCCTGGTCAAGCTGGACTGGGCTGTGTAATGGAAAAATACCCTCAGTGATGCTGGATATAGGCACCAGTGTGAACCTGAAAAATGATTAGTGCATACAAGTGCAAAATATATAAATATGCTTTTGAGAAAGAAATGACCTCCAGGAGCTAAAATTTTCTCTTTAGTCACTTTTGTATAAAACGTTTTGCCTCTGTATAGATCAAACAAAACTTAAAATATCCAAATGTTTTTTTTTTTTTTGTTTTAGAAGTTGTTCTGGTTCGGCCAGTGGAAGACCAGGAATAATCTGGCCCTGAGGTTCATCCAATCACATGCCTCCCGTGAATCCCTCACCGGGCCTCTTTCTGATGTTTCTCCTTGAGTTCAACATCAAACAGAAAGCGTACCTGAAAGTTTTTGTTGACGAGCGTCTTCCTGTCCGCCTCGATCTGACGAAACTTTGAGCGCAGTCCTTTGATCTGGCTCTCCATCCTCATGATGTACTGAAAGTCTCTCTGTGTCCGCAGGTTCAGCACCTCGATTGACTGTGACATGTTCTGCACCTTTTGAAAAGAATGAGATGGTGCAGGATTGATTTTCCCATCCACCAGCAAATTAAAGCGTCCTTGTTCAGCCCATTTTGTTGCCCACTTTGCTCTAACTTCCCGCGGAACGAATCGACATTTTGACCTCCAACGTGATTGTCTTTCAGCAAACCAGCAGGATGTTGTAACTTCAAATCTATTTTACATGCACGCAAGATTGTTCTGTGGTAGACATCTTATCCTGTTTGCTCGTTTTTGAGGGTACAGTTTACAAAAAAATGTATTTTATTTTTTAAATGTTGCTTTTGATAACAATTTTTAAAGACAAGATTAGATTCGGACGCCTGGCGGCAGCTTTTTATGCTTCAACAAAAGCTCCTTGGATTTGTAGGGCATGTGAACAAGAAGAAATGCTATCCTTTCTCTCCTCTCTTTGCCTCTAATTGTAACAAACCAACATAACTGGAGCACATCAGAGACAAAGTGGCACAACACTCATACATTGTGTTCTTTCCTGACGCTGGTAGACGGATCCTGAAATGGCCTTACTGATACCCCGAGGCAGCTTAGTACATTAGTGTCAAAAGGGCCCTGTAAATGATAGAGAACATGCATTGGCATACAACCAGCCAATGTAGGCTACAGTAATATTTTCCCACACAGTGTATGACATACTCACTGAAGAAAGAGACTCCTGTGCTATGATTTTTCTTCACTAAATCACCACAGCCATGATAAAACCACATTTTATGTCTCTATTGAATCTTTTTTATACATACTGGGAGGTTCTGTTTACTTTTAAGATGAGGCTTAAGACTTTCCTTTTTTAAATCTTAGGGCTAGTATTGGTTTCCTGAGTTATTTCTCAGTTATGCTGCTTTAGGGTTAGACTGCTGCAGGACATACTAACCACTCTCTCTACTCTCTTTCTTTGCACATGCAGTTACTGCTGGCGTTGGCTTTTTTTTCCCCCTGCTTGTTTTCCTATAGAATCTACACTTTGTCCTCTCAAACCCCAGAGAGCTGAGGATGATAGCTGCTCATCCTGAGTCTACAGCATGGGTGTCCAATCATGCACCTCCAGGGTATCCAGAAGTGTCAAAACTATCCACATTCATTACTTAAGTAGAAGAATAGATACTAGGGATGCACGATATGTCAGCATTAACATCGGTATCAGCCAAAGTTGGTCTTTTTTTTTCAGAATATTGGTATCAGTCCGATGTGTATTACTGGTCTGATATAGATTTCTCACTTTTTAACCTTGTGTTTCTGTAATGGGAGGGGAGATGGTTGGTCGGGCGGTATCTGTTGGATCATGATAGTGTTAATGATGCTGTGCAGCCAAGAATAACTGAAGGAGACAGCCATGTCAGCATTCTGGTTGTTTTTTGTAATATATGTATATAAATAATTGTGTGTAATATTGGGAAGTATTGGTTATCGGCCATAACACCAATAATAATATCGGATATCGATATCGGTTGAAATTCTCATAATGGTGCATCCCTAATAAATACTAGGGTTAAGACATCTTTGGAAGTAAAATTGTCAACTCAAGCTTTTTACTCATTTAAAAGTGTAAAAGTACTGGTTTTAAAACTACTTGAAGCATAAAAGTAAAAGCAATGTAAGGACAAAAAACATTAAGGAGAAAACCTCAGCCTGGCCATGGGGGTGTTTACAACCCCACCTCCACAAAAAATAAATAAATAATAATTCCAAAGGCAATAATGAAAATATAATAAAAAGGTAATATTGAAAAGTATGAGATGCACTCTTCTACCTGTTTCAGCTGCACATCTCTCTGCCACGCTCATCTTTATACTTGGCTACATGCTATACATCTGCTGTGTCGTGCTGGAGTTTGATTTGTGTCCTGCAGGTGTGATGGATTGCACAAACCAATAGGGTGTCAGAATGGTATATACTTCTTATCCGACCAGAATTAATTTCACTCTGTGCAGGAGGCCCAATATATCTGGACAGTTTTATTGTTTTCACAAACCAGTGAGTAGGAGAAACCTGTTGTGGTCAAGAGGTCATGTCAGGGTCATTCATGCAACACCAGAATAAATGAAGTCCTTTTTGCAGTTTTTTAAAAGTAAGGAGTATAAATAAAAAAATGGCTGAAAAATAATTACTCCAGTGCAGTATAGGTTACCAAAATTTATACTTAAGTAAGGCTATAAAGTAGTTTTTACTTTGTCATTTGCTGAAACACGGGTGTAAATCGAGGGCCACTATCCTGAATTCTTTACTTATTTTCCTGCCTCAACAGCCTGTTACTCACCCATCCATTCAAATCAGATGTGCTGGAGCAGAGAATTCTCTAACTCATGCAGGATAGTGGCACCCTGTGCTAGAAGGTTCTTACTGTAAAAATAAACTTTTTTATGTTGCTGCTCAGTGTTGAAGATTTGCACCCGCTTCGGATGTTATATCCATTAAATGGACGTTATTAGCCGTTATCAGTCCCATAGAATGTCAGATTGTCATCTGGTTAATATGAGGCATAAAGCCGCTAAGGTTAATTTTAGAGAAAATGACATGGGCAACGATAAAGTAGACGGGACTCTGGCAGTAGCAGATTGTTGCATTTCAACATATATGGCACTGGTAACCCACTAGGGGGCACTGTTGGGACAGTCTGAAGCCATTCTATGGGACTGATAACCGCTAATAACGTCCATTTAATGGATTGATAACATTTGAACCGGCTGAGATTTGACGCAGTCTGCTAGCATCTTTGATTGACAACCTTTTATTAAAATGACGTTTCATTGTATAAAGTGAGTTTTATTGTTTTGTATTATAGTTACATTAGAAGTGTATTACTTGTGTACTAATGTAGGAGCTGCGCCCGCATTGGTCACTGGCAATAGAAAGCCCTTGACCAGAATGGGTCATAGGTCACCTTCTAGAAGGATGCCAAATCATCATCATCATCATCATCATCATCATCATCATCATCATCATCATCATCATCATCATCATCATCATCATCGTCGTCGTTATCATCATCATCAAATCATTATAATAAATAGAATTGTTGTTTTTAAAAAAGTAGAATACCTTTTGTTGTAAAATGGTACTATATATGTAAATAAACTGAGTTTAAGATTTTCCTCACAGTTCAACTTTTAACATTTGGCAGTTGCATTAGTTGCAGAAAAAAAGAAAAAAATTTAAAAAAGGGAAAAAAAGGTAGGACTCAGCCATATTATGTTGGGATGAGGAGCATTCTCATCTTCTCAAGCTGTCATTCAGCTGATGTCATCCATGTAATAAATGCAGAAGTGAAAATATGGACCAGGCTGGTGCAATCTCTTGAGGGATTATGGAAACAAAGTGCCACGATTGAAACCTGACGTGATGTTTGTGTGAATTTACGTGCGCTGTCAGCTTTTTTTTACAAGTGTGTGTGTGTGTGAGAGAGAGAGAGAGAGAGAGAGAGAGAGAGAGAGAGAGAGAG